AAAAAAAAAAAAAGTAAATAAAAAAATGAATATCGAATACCAAATTTTCATAACGGATACCTACCCATAGAAACGAATATTCGAATATCCGAATATTTGGGTACAGCCCTAGAAACCAGAGGGTGGGCGCTGCATTTATGCAACAATGGCATCCTGATATCAGCGGTAACCCCTAAATGAGTGAAGCACATTGTGGTGATTTGCTGGCTTGTGGGATTCACGAACGCACTAACATGCAACCATGTCCAGACCATCTACCACAACAACAAACAGAGAAGCTCAGATTACAACACACAGAGGGAGCGTGACTTCATTCTCTGCTCAGGATGTCATTACTCCACTGTATCTTCACAAGGCAAATAGTGGTTTGCTGCTCCAGAGTCTGTGTTTGTCACATCCATGGCATCCTTGTTGTCTCTCACTGTTGAACAGTGAGAGACAACAGAGTTCAACATCTCTAATTCAAAAGTCACTGCTCCAGAAACATTCTTGTTTCTGAGGAGGGGAACAGTTTGACAAAATCATATCCAAAGCCTTTCCTCGTCTGTCTGTCCTTGCAGCTTAAAAAACTAAATCTCAAACCTGCATCACAGAAGCAAGCGTCACTGTGGTCCGTTTTTATGCTTGGTATAAACATCTGATCACGAGCCTTTATTCATAAGCATTCTTGTCCTCTCAGTTCTGGTGACTGTTTTGGCTGAATGTTTTTTTTTTTGTCCTAAAAATATGGCCACACCACACAGGTGTTATTCATACCTGTGTGAGATCTGATAACAGTGTGATCCAGACCACCTCCAGATGAGGTCTGGCCAGTCTGATGGCATTCTGTATGCATCTACACCTGTAGTAAATGAGTTTCCCTGATACAAATCACATGTTAACACCAGGTGTACAAGGGCTAAGCTTCAGCTGAGCCTCGCAGCTGGGTGCTGGACCAATCAGCAAACTGCAGGAAACAGTTAACATAATGACATGATGATTCATCATCCCTTAAGTACAGTAATCCAGCGCTCTGGATATAACATGCTCAATTCTGCAGTATCATGACCTTTCTCTCGTCATTCTGACTTTGATTTAAACAATTTCCAGAACTGTTTTGTTGTGTCTTCTACAGTGTTAGTCTACAGCCCAAGTCATGTGTTTGTCCAGTCAGGTGTAGGAAGGGGTCCTGTGATGCCTTAGCGACGGTCAAATCGTCTGTTGGTCAAAATAAATAACTGGCTCAATCATATTTTGATCAATACATATGGACACCATCCCTAACCCAAGTTAATTTCCAATCAGCAGGCATCCAAGAGACATAGCGCCAAAAAACGCATATATAGTGAGGCTAAACGTGACGTCCTGTAATCCTGGTTGAAGTCAAAGCATCTACCCTCAGAAAGTTCGCAGCAGTAAAATTTGCTATCGTCCCTTGAACATTTTTACCTCTATGCACACCTTTGTTCCACTCACAGCTGAGAAAACCATCCAAAAAAGCCAAGCCGTACCTCGTCCACGTTCTCAAAGGCGTTGATGATGTCATAGGGCAGGCAGGACAGCAGGTCAATGACAAACCAGGTCTTCAAGTAGTTCATACGGATGAGTTTAGGGTCAGAGATGACCTCTCCGCCGGGCCCCACGAAAGTGGTGTGGAAGTTGAGGACGATGTCCACCAGGAAGATGACGTCCACCACGCTGTCCAGCACCAGCCACACGATGTTGTTCTGCTTGGTCTTGAAGGAGACGTTGTAGGGCACCATGATGGCCGTGTAGAAGGTGAGGATGAGGATGACCCAGTCCCAGGTGGTCTTGAAGGTGCAGTAGTGGAGGATGATGTGGGGAGGGGTCTTGGGGGCCTCCTGCTTGTACTGAGGGAGGATGTCGGAGTTCAGCTGCAGAACCTGGAGACAGAGAAGAAACGTTTACTCGAAAAAAAAGCTTTATTGAGTTTCTGTTAATCAGGTACACTTTTCTTCCAAGAGTGAATTAAAATACCCTTTCATTGATACATACTAAACACACTGAAAATCAAGAATTGGACTGAATTCAACTTTTAAGTCAGTACCATCGTTTAAAAACTTCATGGACTTGTCTCTGTGTAACTGTTTGATCCAGCCAACTTCTGAATCTCATTTGCTCTCTTATGTTTACTTCATTTATGTGTGTATTTATGTATTGTATGTATCATTAATCTTCTTTAATGTGTTGTCCCTTGCCTGTGCTTACTTCATCTATTACTGTATGTATTTTACAATTTTTGTTTTCTAAATAACTTTCTGTAAATCATTTTGTTCCCTTATACATAAATAATACTTAATTTTTCCTTTTGAAGAAAATGTTAACAAGATAACAACCGAATATGTATTCATTTTTTCCATTCATACCTTATTTTTCTACTTTTTAATTTAGATTTAGTAACATTTGTAACACACGATTTCCATCTTTCTATACAATTATTCTTACACTCCAATATGGTAATATTGTAACATGGAGCACTTTTATGTAGTTTACTGTATATATTACTTTTCTTTGTGTATTTATGTTTAACTCTGCAATGTATGAATACAAAGTAAATTTATAGCATTTATATATTTATTTTTAATACATTATGCATACCAAGCATCTTGAGCACAAACTTTTTCCTCAAAGGGAACACAACATGAAAGAGTACAAACCATAGAATAAGTGAAGTTATGAATAAAAAAATTCAAAATTATAAAATATATCCAGCCCTGAGCCCTTCTGGTATAATCTAAGAAAACAGGTGAATTTTATAAAGAAAGTATTTTTTCTGTCTATCTGTGAAAATTAGTGTTTTTTTTCTCACAAAATATAAAAATATATACTTTTCACCTTTTTTTACAGATGAAATAAAAAGATTTGAAAAATTAACCTGAGAAAATTAACCTGTTTTCACAAATGAAAAAAAATATCAGAATTATCCTAATTTTTTCTCCCCGTTTTCAGGTGAAAAAAAAGTACAAAAATGATCCTTAAAAAAATCACCTTTTTTAATAGATAAAAGAAAAAGCACAAAAATTATCCTGAAAAAAATCACCTGTTTTCACAAATGAAAACAAATATCAAAATTATCCTAATTGTTTTCCGTGTTTCAGATAAAAAAAAGGTAGAAAAATGATCCTTAAAAAAAATCACCTGTTTTCACAGAAGACATAAAAACTGAAAAACTATCCTGAAAAAAATTCACCTGTTTTTACAGATGACAAAAAAAAAGTTATCCTGAAAAAAGAATTGGCTTTCATAGATGAAAAAAAAGAAAATTTATCCTAAACAAATTCACCTTTTCTCATGAATAATAATTAAAAAAACACCTGTTTTCACAGAATGGAGAGAAAATTTTAACATAAAAACATCTCCACAAAAAGAAAAGTCTTGCTTGCCTCTTAGGGCTTCCGTAACAAACAAATTTTTATCTCATCATTAACAGAGCAAAATAAAACAAAACAGTATAGATCACTAATGTTATAAAACATGTACAAAACAAATTACTTTATTTTCCTTTTTTAAACTTTTTTTTTACATGTCATACATTCAAAGATATTCAAAAGGATTAAACTTATGCATTTTTAAACAAACTTTATCTCTAACAAGTTCACCTGTCTTTTACACTCAACAAATTAAAACTTCATCTATTTTGCTTCTGGCCCAGTCTTGACTTTATACTTTAAACGTAGCACAAAGACAACTAACCTGTTTTATTGATTTGTAGTCTGCAGTTCAACACGGTGAAAAGTTTGGTTTATTTTCTGTAAATTATATTTCTAATTTTCGGTTATATTTGTAAGACAAACCTGAGAAATAGAGCTTCACCAAGTAAATGCACTCCAGGTGTTTTATAAAAGGTAGGATACTAGAAAGAAAAAGCAAAAGAAGGATGAGGTGAAATTAATCTTGTGAAACAGATGAAAGTGATTAAGGAAAAAGTAAGCACAAAAACGACTTTGCTTTTTAGTCTAGTCATTATTACCTACTGCGGCTAAAGAGAGGGGGAGAATAGAGCCAGAAAAGTATATTAAAATTTGTGATGTTTTTCCTCCCCTGTTTCCATCTGCATTCATCTCTCTTGTTGCTGTGCACAGCTCCCTGTGACAAAACTGCATAATGAATAAATCTGGCTTGAAATGAGAAAGAAATGAGAAAGAGAAAATCAGATGAGAGGAACACAAGTGTTGACCAGACAGATAAAAAAAACAACCAGTCATTATATTTTGCAGTGCGGTGACGATAACTCCTGCTGAGCTCAGCCTCCTCTGCATAACAGAGACGGCATTAAATCATACACACAGCAGTTTGATTTCCTCTGCAGGCCACAGAGAGATCACACATCAACCGCTCCACTCATTTTACACTCAACTGCATATTATTCTGTTTTTATCCAGCTGCTACAGAGATGAACTGTAATATCGTCTGCAGCCCCAAATATATTATACATGATTATAAATCAGACTCATTTAAACACGTCCTGCTTTTTAAAAGAAAAACACTACCAAGATACACTTAAATATCAGCTCCAGTACACTGACGGAGATACTTATGCAACTTTAATGACAAGTTCTAGTGGTAATATTGCTGTTTGACAAATACTGCTTCCACAAATAATACTGAGGACAATATTTAAATATTGTTAGTAATACTGCTAATAAGACATGTTGCTGCAGTAACTACCATTATTTCTATTTCTTGTCATATTACATTGGTGAGACTACTTCTAGTAGCACTGTTGCCACCACAATGGTATCACTACCCACTAGTACTTCTACAACTAATTAGGGCTGCAGGATATATCTATCAGGCAAATAAATTATTAGGCAACAATGGGACATTTTTATTTATATGCATTATTACGATACTTATAGCATAGATTATAGCAGATATATAGCAGCAATAATATGAAGCCAGACTGCTTTCATTGACTTAACAAGGGCAGCAACTACACACCCGACAAAGTGAGTGGCGGCAAATGTACCTTTAAACTTGGTTTGCAAGCTGCCAATAAACACAGAGAGGGAGAACAACAACAACCGCAGCATCTTTCCTAGAGAGCAAAACATGTTGCGGTGTGGACGTCTTTGACAGTTTCAGAGGAAGACAAAAGGATTGCGCAAAGTGTCTGATCTCCGACCGCCCAGCACAGGTACGACACAGCGCTGAAGGACTGTCTCCAGAGTGTTAGCACGAGCTAATTAGCAGCAGCGGCTCACATCCAACACCGAGCTTTTAAAATACTCGACTCTGTTGTTACACTCATTAATAACAGCTAGCCGTGCGATGCTACAGTTAGCGATTATTTGTATCGTTACCTGCCGACCCAGTCTGGAGCACATCTCTCTCTGTCTGTGTGTGTGTGTGAGTTGAGTGTTCATGTGTGAGGCGATTCAATAGCGCATCGCTACTCTACTTAGTAGCTGTAGGCTAGTCTATCATGGGAAGGTGAGACGGCACCTGGGTGTGTTTATAAAAATGCAGCATGACGATATAAACATTTCATATACCAGATATATCGTGGGCCTACCATAGGCTGACCAAACGTCCTCTTTTGCCTGGACATGTCCACTTTTCATGTCCTGTCCGGGGGGTGTTTATAAATTGATGATAATGTCTGGTTTTCCTTGTGTGTGTGTGTGTGTGTGTGTGTGTGTGTGTTAGAGTGCGGCACGGGCAGCATATTTCTGTCCGAACCCGAACCGAGCCCAACATTATTTAATGACCAAAGCACTGAGTTTGTGTCACACAGTTGTTATGGTTACAGGCTATTTAACAGGCCGGGCGTGCGCCATGGGTGCTCCGCGGAGAGGGAGACCTCCGTGTTTGAGACGGGAGCAGACGGCGGGAGGTCCGAGGCTTCCAGCGAGGGGAGAGGGAGAAATATAACAAAATAAGATAAAATAGGAAAACTTGTCTCCCTCTTTTATTTTATTTTCAGCATTTAATCAAGGCGGGCGCGGGCAGCGGAAGGTCCGAGGTTTCCAGCGAGGGGAGAGGAAGAAACAAACAGCCAATGTGTGTGTGTGTGTGTGTGTTGTGTTCAGGTGTTGTCATGTGCCCAAGCAATAAACAGGACAGACAATAAGATTTTATTTAGTTTTACACTACATTTTCACTGAAAGCTGACCGAATCCGACCCGAGCCCGAATACAATTTATACATTTTTGACCAAACCCGGCCCGACCCGTCGGGGATGCCTACCGTCGGGACCCGTCAGGCTCGGATCGGGTAGCCACACTCTAGTGTGTGTATGTGTCCCCTATCTATAGGGGCCTATCTGAATTTCTGTCTTTGAGAGATATTATTTTGTAATATAACTGAATTTTCTATCCATACATATAAACTTTAAATATATTAAAATTATAAGGCATCTTTGAGTAAACTGCGAGCATCATTCGGCCGGGCCGAGTGTCCTCTTTTTTGGAAATCAAAATATGGTCACCCTAGCCTACCATAAACTACAGGTTATACAGTTCTTTTTTGATTGTATCAGTTATCAGCCATGAGAAGCAGGTAAATATCGGTTATGGTATCAGTTGAAAAAATCTGTATCGGTGCATCCCTTCAGCTGATACTAATGCAGCAGCAGCTGCTACCACTACTGGTGCTGTTTCTTCAAGTGCTATTACTACTACTGCTGCTACTACTTCTACTACCACAACTACAACTACTACTGCTGCTGCTTCTCACCATCCATAACTACTGCCACCTCTATATTTGTAGCCTACTTCTCCTGCTACTACTTCTGCTAGTACTATAATTAATAACACTATCATTGCTACTACTGTTACAAACACTTCTAATGCTACTGCTGCCTCTACTAGTTGTACCACTGTTAATGCTACCACTACTACTACTACAGCATCTATAGCTACATGTACTGTTACTACTCACT